TTCACCGCTAGCACCGGCCAGGTTAAATGTAGCTGGGTGTCGGTCAGTATGGTCAGTGGTCCTCTGAGCCTTTTGTTGAAGCAGTGGGGAAGGGAAAGGATCCTGTCACTGCGCCCTTCTTTCCGTCCATCTGTATCCACTTCCCCTGTGTGTGCATAACACAAAAGCAACCGTTAGTAAAAGAGAAAAACCTGAGAGCAGCCTGAGAGCCTGTGCACAGGAGGTGTGGAGGAAGTGGTCTGTGCCGAGCGGCAATTTTGTTTCCCCTGTTGCTCAGTGGGTACCCCGAGCTGAATTAATGCCCTTCGCTGGGCGTGGTATCACTGGATGCAAATGGAAGACCTCTACAGAACACACACCAACTAAAGCCAGCCAGAAAAGAAACCAGAGTAAGAATGGCTGCCATGGGAAGTGTTAAACATGTATCCAGTTTTCGAACTTGGATAGCAGCTGAGTCCATATTTAAACACCTAATTAGCCACTGCAGGCTTTGGTTTGAAATTCAGCTTCTCATTACTTTTAACAAATATATTGCCCCAGCATGCTAGGAAGACTGCTGCCGGAGACAGCACCATGGAGATGAGTGGTAAAATCAGCTTCTGGTGGAAAAGAGGAGAAAAAAAAAATAAGAAAAAAAAATAAATCAGCAAACCACAAGGCACTCACTCCAGAACTGAATATTTACTTATTTTATTTTGGCAAAAATACAAAACAAGCCTTTTCTTTTCTCCTCCCTAATTTTTATAATGACAATTCAAACTTGTCAGTCTATGTTGCAAAAAATCTTAAGCCAAAACCTAAAAATTTCTGCTAAAAATTAATTGAATAGAAAATGCATAGCCTGCCTTATCCTGATCCTTTATTCATCAGTATAGAATCAATAAAACAGTATTTTGAAAGGAAGAAGGTCTTGCACATTGCTGCTTTCTTGGCTGGATTTCAAAGCAGCTAATTGGATTCTGTCTGCCTTAACTCCTCCTGTAGTTTCTATTTAGTGAGTTGTGCATTGCCGTATTTTATCGGCACCAACTCGACAAAATGCTATGAGTGGGGCGTCCCCCAGGGGAGACTGTTTTCCGTGGTAGGGAGAGTGGTGCACAGAGAGCCCCACTCAAATGAGTGGGTGAGCATGAACTTCTTCAAGCTACCGATGCCAGGCACACCACTCCTTCCCACTGGACTTCTTCCCACCAAGTCCTTCCTTCGCTTTTCCTGGCTGCTGACCGTGCATGGGCTTGCCATACACAGCACGTGCTGTCTGGCGGAGCTCGAGCCTGCTGGGCAGTATTTATTAGGATGAATCTCTGGGCAGTCAAACACCAGTACCTCCTAGCTCTCTAGCCAACTGGCAAGCGTGTGTATATACCCCTGGGAGCTACCAGTCTTTTGCCTGGCTGGACACCTAGTTAGGAGGTAGAGTTTCTCTCCTTGAGAGTCTGCCTGCCTTGCTGTGAACCATCGATACCCTGTGTCCTTATTGGTCTAAGTGTCACAGGCACCTTGTGTGCTTCGGTGTGCCAGCACAGCTTGCTGGTAAGCTCTGTTCTGCTTTGGGCTGGTTGGTCCAAAGTACTTTCGTGTATGCAGTTTCATTTCAGATAGCTTTTAGAGCCTTCAGAAAATGAAAGCAATGTGGAAATGCATAATGTCAGTATTATTTTATTTAGTATACAATTATACTTTCATTCAGTACAGGAAATGTACATACAGAGCATAAAGCACCAAGACAGACCAGATTTAGATGCACAGGCTTTATAGCCAGATAATTCCATATGTAAGAGGAATACATTTTATGGTTTTAAATTGAAAAAGGGGAGATTTAGATTAGATATTAGGAAGAAATTATTTACTGTGAGGGTGGTGAGACACTGGCACAGGTTGCCCAGAGAAGCTGTGGCTGCCCCCTCCCTGGCAGTGTTCAAGGCCAGGTTAGATGGGGCTTTGGGCAACCTGGTCTAGTGGAAGTTGTCCCTGCCCATGGCAGGGGGGTTGGAAGTAGATGATGTTTAAGGCCCCTTCCAACACAAACCATTCTCTGATTCTACATGTATGTGCATGGGAGATACAATTGTGGTACAGGTACAGTAGCATATGTGCTCCTATTTTTCTGATGCATAAAGTCAAGACTGGATGTAATGAAATCAAGTAACCAGTGTTGATTTTTTTGCAATGTGTCATTTAAACAACATGATTCTAATAAGATGGGGGTCTCACAAACGAAACAGTTGTTCAACAAAAATCCTTGTTAGTTCTGTGTCACAGGTTATTCCTCTGTCTTATGTAGTCCACTGATGTCAGATTCCTGGAAAGCAAGAAGCACACACAGAGGAAATGGGTAGAGAGCAGGTAATCATTGCAGGGGTTCTGCCAAAAGTGTCTGCTCTCTGTATCTGATTTTATATCTTCATCTCTATAGTATGTTATTGAAGTCTAATTCCCTGCTGCCTTGCAAATCATTTGCATCTCTCCACTGTGATATAAAAGGCTTCCTTGCTGATTGGATAGCTTTTTATATCTTCTCAGCACTCGTGTTTCTCTGACATATCTATGCAAAGTACAAGGCTTTTGAGGATCCGGCCCTTGTAGTTCATGCTTCATTGCCACAAGGTAAGTCAAAACAGCACTCGCACAAAATGTGGGAATGTGAAGGCATGGGGAGCATTCACCGTCCTCCTGCCTGGCATCTGAACGTTACTGAAGGCCAGATTAGACCCAGGCAGAACATGTCAGAGTAGTCCCCAGCTCTGCTTCCCTGCAAGCCGCTTGCCAGACAAGATCACTCTAATTCACCTCAGGAAGCTTGTCCCATGCCCCAGCTTGCGTTCTCCACCGGTAGGGGAATGGTGGCACGGATGGAGAAGTGCCAGGGTTGACTGCCAGCTGGCTGCCGGAGGCAGCTTCAGATGAGCACTTCTTCCCATGGGTGGCATGAGCTCTGCCCCGCACGGCTGCGCAAGGGAGGCTTATAGCGGCTGAGGGTCTGGTCCTTCAAGTTAAAAGGGTTGAAATATGCATGAAGCATAAGGTGACATTTTGAGTGTCTCAGATCAGAGCACGGACGTTCCTGAATTTAAAATGTAACTGCAATTTCCTGACTAATGCCAAGTCACTTTTATATTCATGCAGTGATTGTTCTTTATTCTTAAAATAGCCCATTTTACCCCGCGGCGCAGGTGATATCTTTATGATGATGGAGCTGTGTTATCCAGCATGTTACAGCTCAGGCCGTTGGTTGATGCAAGGGCTGTTTATGATCAGCTGTCCTTTTTTATTCTCTCTCAATTTATCTAATGCTTTTGTAGCCTGTTTGTTTGTGATTTGCTTGAATAAGGGTAGAGCAGGGAAAAAAAGAAGAAGAAAAAAAGAGTTGCAGGAGATTCAATGTTGTTGTCTTTTACTTCCTGTAGCTGAGCTGTACGATTTACCATTGTGTCTCCAAGTTTCTGAGTCCATTCAGATAACATTAACAGTTAAATTGCTTCAGTAGCCTTAGAGCTCTGCAGAGAGTCCGCCTGTTTGCTAGCATCCAGGGCTTTCTGTGGTGAAGTGTACAGGATATTATAAATAAGGTATACAACAAGAACGAGATAACAAAAAGAACTCTGAGACATATTTGCTATTCGTTCAAAATAAAAACCTTGCACATAGTAGCAACCACAGAAAACTGAAGGCAGGCTTTTCAGCAGAGTAGGAGCATCCCCAGCCCGGGTGTTTGCTGCGCTAAGGGTGAAGGTGTAGAGGGTGGACCTGTAGCTGTGGCTGTCACAGAGGCAGGACAACAACTAGGGGGAAGGAGAGAGCTGGGAAAGAGAGATCTGCTCCTGGGTGGGCGCCCCTCTATCTCCCTCCACCAGCAGCAGCTGCTGCCCCAGGGACCCTAACCCCTGGCTCCACATCGGTGGCAGCAGCAAGCAGCGCCACTTCCCCAGGCTGTGGCAGAGGCAAAAGGAATGGGGACCAGAGCTGTTTTGCTGCCCGCAGCAGCCTGTTGCTTTAGGCTCCCGCCTGCTTTGCCTATGAGCTGTCTGTAATGCCAGGAATTACCTTTGGTTCTGCTAAGCACAAAAAAGGTTAGATGAGAGGCTGTAGTAATTACAAGAGTGTCATGGCATAGGAATTTGTGGAAGTGATGCTGAGGCCCCAGTTGGGAGGAGCACTTTAAGTGACATATGCGCTGGAACTAGCCTGCTTACTTAAAAAAAAAATTATGTCTGCCTGCATGCAGTGAAACAAAACTAATCAGCAGTCCCTAGAAAGTTTGACTTTGAAAGAAAGGCAGATTCAGCATCCGGATGAGCGATGTGCACAGGAGTCTCAACAGGTAATGTTTTGCAGTAACTCCCAGTATTTGTGCACCTCCTGTTTGGCACAACCCCATCCAGCCGTCTTTGCTCTAAAGGCTGTATATAGCATAGCTGCAGTTATACTTGCAGCTGCTCTCCTTGCTCCGTCAATTATATCCATCTCTTTAGCTGTGCGTAACCTGGTGTGTCACTGGGGCAGGTGCAATGATTGCCTTACTCATCTGTACTGTGCCCAGCACAGGAGCCTTCGTCAGAAACTAGTATGCTCTGATGCAACACAAACAATAATAACCAGGGGCAGTATGATCAGGCACGGATTTACTGGGTGGGAACAGGGTATGTATGTGTGGGAAGAGGGCAGTGAGGAAGGAGAGAGTAGGTTGAGGGCCTCTAGGTGCTGATATCCTGGAAATTTCTAGTTTAAATAGTTTGATATAGAGACTCTGGCAGGTACTCTGTCATTTTTATTTATTTTTTTTCCTGCCACAGATTAGACTTGGTGTCTGATGGAATAATCACCAGAACTCTAGCAAACAACACGCCTGCCAGTGATAAGCTGTTTCTTCTGACCACTCAATGTATAGCTATTTGCTTGCTGGAAGTTGCAAAATGCAGTACATTTGGTATTTGTGCAATTCTGTTTTCCTTCTGACTATTTTTTGTGCATCTCCCTCTCTCTTTCTCTCCTTTATACAGATGCTCGTATTCACCCCATGGAGCCTATGCCCAAAGCAAACTTGCCCTTGTGTTATTTACCTATCAACTACAGCATCTTCTGACTGCAAATGGAAGCCATGTGACTGCTAATGTAGTAGACCCTGGAGTAGTGAATACTGAGCTCTACAGACATGTCTTTTGGGTTGTAAAAGTGGCCAAATGGATGACAGCCTGGCTATTTTTCAAGGTATGCAGTTTTTTAAATCATTTTGTGGCCATGCCCCTGCATCGTGAGAGCTGTAGTAAGCACGGAGCTGAAGGTGTTTTGGAGTTTGTCATAATGTATGGTATTTATTGCATTTCTCTGCGCTGACGAGATGTACAAAACTGACAAAGACAGGCCTTCCGCAGAACAAACACTTGCTTTAAATGGAGGGAGAGAGCTCTCACGGTAAGGGAAGGGAATGCCTTTCACTGTCTGTGCCCATGCACTGATTATCTCTGCCGTGATCTATCCATGTCCCTTTGTGCGTGCATGGGGGCAGAACGTCATCCTAACATGGAGCCAGAATATGCAAAGTGTTTCTTGGAAATGTTTTCTACAGCCTCTTAATGAGAAGCAGGCATGATGTAGCACAGTCTACCTGTACACATGTTATAGAGAAGAGGGCAAAGGGAAGGAGGAAGCTGTACAAAAATGGTGGTGGGAAGTGGCCATACTCCAGGCTGTGTGGGTCCAGACACTCGTGGTCTGGGAGGTGAGGCAATTTTCATTTAGCTTTTATATCCTAACACGTACTTGTAATGGTACCTGATTTTCTATTATCTATTCCTGGTCTGCATTAGGAAACTTAAAGCTGTGTGATAGAACTGATGCAGAAGTGGGGCAGACTCAGTTATGGTTAACTTCAGTAACATTTTGTAGTGGTGAAAGTAGATCAAACTGAAATCAGTTTAGCTGCGGAGGTGGAATCTCCTCATGCGGACAAGCCTTAGGAGGACTTGTCCTGAGAAAATGTACTGCTTATAACTCTTTCAGAAAGTAGTTTTGGATTAAGAGAATGGAACCTGATTCCATTAGAGAAAATTATATGTCCTAATTAAAATGAAGTATTTTAGATCAAGGGGCATGTCCCACAAAGCAAATTAATTTTAAACTTTGATATGGAAATATCACTAGTTTTAATTTCAGAAATTAAACTGGAGGC